GGAGGTAAATATGCATGGTTTCTCTCACATCAATTGAATTGATTTTGTGCGTATACGTTAACAATATATTTTGCGATGTTTCTCGTTTATCTATTCTATGATTTAGGAAGGGAGCTTGGTACAAATTCAGATGTTAAGCACAGTGATGAAGGGGAAACTAAAACAAGTGAGTGAGAATAGATTAACATGGATTTTTTTTATATGCAATGAATACTTTATACAAAATATGTAATATAAATTGAGTTAAACTTACAGATTTTATCTGATGTGTTTTGTTTTCACAAATAGCAGCTGAAGGTGATAGTGAAGGAGGTAAGTATGCTTGGTTTATCTCACATCAATTTAATTGATATCGGGTTTTATGTTAACAAGACATTTTACTTTGTCGCTCACATTTTTAATTATTCTGGACTAGATCATGATATAAATATAGATGTTGCACACACAGATGAAGAGGAAATTGTAGCAAGTGAGTATGAACAGTTTATACATATTTTGTATTATTTTTGTATGCAATGAATACTTCATTCAAAATATTTAATATAAATTAAGTTAAGTTCATTAACTGTATGTTATAAGTCTATCTTGTAATATTTACAAATAGCAGATGTAAGTGGTAAGTTTGCATAATTTCTCTCTTATGAAATGATTTGATTTTCTGTCTAAGATATGTTAGGATAATTTAGTATGTTTGTCGTTCATTCATTTTATTATTTAGAAATCTATCTTCGTTTAAACATTAATGTTGTACGCATTGTTGAAGGTGATATTGTAGCAAGGAAGCATGAACAGTTTAACACAAATTTTTGTTATTTTTTATGCAGTGAATACAAAATGATTAATATAAATTGAGTTTATTCTTTTGACTATATCTTTTACTTCTCATTTTTTCAGCTGAAGATGACATTGAAAGAGGTAAGCATGCATGATTTCATTTATGATCAATTCAGTTGAATTTGGGCTTAAGATACGCTAACCAGATTTTAACATCATTCTCTAGTTGTTTTATTAAAAAAGCGCTTTTTATTACAGTATTTAGAGACTTTTTAAATTGGAATATAAATATAAATCCAGAATATTGATGTACGTAAGACCTCCAAATAAATATAATCAAGTGAAAATTTCTCAAGATTAACACAGACCAGAAAATTATCCCGACAAAGAGAGTTGTTTTTAAATTTAATATTTATTTAACGACTGGTTATTACGATTATTCTTGAAACTATTTTCTCTTTTCCAGTTATTGCTAAATACTATATAATTTTAAAAAAGGCGTACGACGGGTACAATGTCATCAAATTTTACGGTACATGTTTTTCGTAAAAATTTATGTATTGTCTCCATTGAAATCTATTTTACAGTGCACAAAATAAAATATAATGAATAACTGAACCCTGAATAACTTTTGATCGAATGATCAGATCTTCACGTTTTAAGACTCAATCTTTACGAAGGAGTGACCTCAAATATTCTAATTAATTACAATCCAAAATTTTTTCGATCATTATTAAATAAATAAAAAAATAAAAAATATTTACTGAAATTTATTTTTTGCATGGAATTATCTTTGAACAAATGAACTTCATAATTGCTTTCAAAAATTTTTCAATTCACTTAGAAAGGTTCTCGAGATATAGTGAAATATGCAAAAAGTAAAATTAACATTAAGGGGTCCAGACTTTGGAGTGCTCTC